TCGATCTCTGTATCACGTGGCCGCCAAGAATGTAGTTTCAAGTAATATTCCTGAGAAAAGCTTGGTGAAGGTGCCGTGAAGTATGTCAATCATGATCTTGTTGTGAGTACTAAACGTGCTTGGAAACCGAACAAAAAATATGATAATCTCTGTAAAGTTGGAAAGCCTAATATGAAGAAATTGCTGAAAAATTGTGATACAGGCAAGACTACAGGTATAACATGTTCTTAAATAGGTTTGTTGTACTAAGCTAGCTATGTTCAAATTAAAAGTCACTCGATCAGTCGATAAGAAATGTTTTGTCATAGTGTAAAACTATTTCTTTCTGAGCTCACCTACCCTTTTATCCTTTATCCCTTCTTTTCTTTCTGAGCTCACCTTACCCTTTTATCCTTTATCCCTTCTTTTCTTTCTGAGCTCACCTTACCCTTTTTATCCTTTATCCCTTCTTTTCTTTCTGAGCCCACCTTACCCTTTTATCCTTTATCCCTTCTTTTCTTTCTGAGCTCACCTTACCCTCAATCCCATTAAAATTTTCTGAACATTTCTATACATGATACTAGGCTTGGGAGCTTCAGAGATTTAATCATCCACATCTATACAGTTATCATCCTCATCTATGTCATCATCATTAGCTATTTCAAATGGGGTATCTCCTTCACCGTTTTCTATTGTTGTACGCCCCAACTGCAACAAGAGTTGCTACAATTGTCTCAAATTTCAATCCTGCAGCAATGTGCAAAGGGGTGCAGCCAGAAAATGATTGTGCATTAGGGTCTGCCTGGCCTTCAAACAATAAACAAGACAACAGTGGAAGATTGTTGTTTTCAGCTGCTAAATGCAATACTGTATTACCACTTTTACTGTCCTGAAAACAAACAGACAAATTGTTAAGAAAATGGTTGTAGATGAAAACTTTTATAATTTAATATGTCTGTACCATAGCATTTGTATTTGCTCCAAGTTTAATAAGTTCTCTAACAATATTAATATGATTCTCTTTTACTGCAACACCAAGAGGAGTCAAACCTGAAAGAATTAATGAGAAATTTGTCAACTTTAAATAAATGATACTGTGTGTTACAAAAACTATTTCAAAATCCTACCATCAAAATTTCGTGATTCCAGTAACTCTTGCAACTGCAGCTTGTGATCCAAATATTTTGGGCATGATTTAAAAATAGCTTTCAGAAATTTTAAGTCTCCATGATAGCAAGCAAGATGTATACATGTCTGACCATTTCTATCTACAAGTTCAACACTAGCTCCGTGATTAATAAGTTTTGAAACAACCCCATGCTGTCTTGTTATCACTGCCAAATGAAGTGGCGTTTGTATTAAATTGTTGTAAAGATCAAAGTATTCCCTTTTTGGTAATACATCCACAATAGCATCAATGACTTCAGCATTGCAATTGATAATTGCCAAATGTAATGATCTATTATAAGAAAAATATTTTGTGGATTAATCACAATGGAATAAGGAAGTCTGAGGGAATTTTTAACAATAAGACTTCTTTGAAAATGTTTAACATCCTCCTCCTTCACTTGTAAAATTTAATTCACACCGAATGTTGTGGGCGGAAATCTTCAAAGACACTTAAAATAGAAAGAGTGACTCTAAAGTGAATGGTCATCATGATTTGCTTACAGTTCTTATTAAAATTTAAAATTAAGTAGAAAACATTCCAGAATAATAATCCTTATGACGTTTCACCCCCAGCAAAGTCAAGCAAGCAAAGTGAAAAACAATGAATGGTAATTCCCAAATTTTTCTACCGTCATAATCACACGTATTCACGCCCCAAAGTATATTTTACGTGAGCTGTATCACACCTTAACATACATAAATCGATTTCTTATAAAAGTTTGTCAAACACAAATACATACGTGTCTCCATCGCCATTTCGTACCAGGAAATATGGCCAACTAGCCGCCATCATAAAACGCAGGTTTTGCGTTTGAGCAAAACTCTGTACACAATGCACATTCATTTGAAAGTAATTTATTTTCGAAGTCATTGAATCATAACCTTCGTCTATCTTCAAATCCTCAGTTTTATTTATGACTTTTTTCATATCCATTGAATCGTTGGGGCTCGACACGCATTGTTGATTTCGCGTTTCGTCATAATAACTGTCTGTACAAGAACTGAGAGAATGTTGGCTTTCATTTTCCGACATGCTTCCCAAACCCGAATCCACTCTAGAATCGCTATCATTAGAGTACTGACGATAGTCTTCCTTCATTTTTTCAACAGCTCTGGGTTGTTTGGGTGAACCCATTACAACGCCGTTCTTGTTTTCTTGTGTTGTCATCATCTTGTATTGTTAATGGTGGTAATTTTCCTTTAGCTGTCGCACCTAAATGCAGCTTTGGAATGAAATAGTTTGGTAAATTTACTGCACAAAATTAAAGCATATAAATGCTCTGGCAAAGACGAATTTCACGTTAGACGGTTGTCGTAATATAACCGGTCATACAAAATGTTTACTTTTAGCTTTTATTTGCTGGGGAATTCCCTTTCACATATTTAGCCAATCACAAGCCTCTATTGGAGGGGAAGTCCATTTTTCTGCTAACATATTCCTACAACCATTGGCTACAACTGGCTACAACACCCCTAAACCACGAATATGACAAAGAGGCATTTACATCTTACATCAGGGAAAATAAAAATTATTAATTGTGCAGTGCGTAATCATTTAAACAGCTATGCAAAAATATTACCTCTACAAAAGCTGAAATCATCAGATTTTCTTCCACATCAACTTTAATATAAAAAGTTTTGGAAACGACTTCTAGAATTTAAATAATGTAAATGCACAGACCCTCAATACACAGTTTTATTATAATTCTATTGATTTGTGCATTAGACGCTTTGCATCTTCCAATCTTTTATTGCATGTTTGGCACGCCTCGGTATAATGACATGTTGATCAATTTGTTGCCTCTTTCCAGCCCAGCTTTTAAGATACCCTCGAAGGAACGAAGGAAAATAAGCTGTATCCTTCGTTATATATTAAAATATTGCTGTACTATGATCAGACACATGTTCATCAATTTGTTGCCAATTATACCACACCTACATCAAACAAGGTCAATGTAGCTTTAATATACTTTGTTATTCTAATGAAAATTCAGGCATGGAAGTTACAGTGCTTTGAATATATTTGATTTTTACATTCTCTACCACATAGTTTTATTTTCAATAAATTTGTGCGATGGGCTTTAGGAAATAAAGCTCTTGTATACTTTTTTGTTTGTTACATATTGATACTTATAGGAGTGTCATGGTTTTCTTGCTGGGAATGCTGTTCGATCAATGAATCGCTACAGAGCTCTTGATGAAACAGCAATCTTTGGGCGAGGCTGTCGACATGAGTTTCCTAAAAAATTCTTAAATTTGAAACATGGAGAGAGGTCTGTTACACACATTTTCACCTATTTTTACCTAAATGTTCTTTGTTTGAAAGAGGTGGTTAAGATGCTTGCATGTGATGGTGTAAATATATTTTTTCAGTTGGTTTGCTACTTTCAATGCTTTGTGCAAGTGCTGAATCTTTTTGCATACATGTGGTTACATTATTTAAAAAAATATTCTACATATTTTATAGATTGAGCTATGCAGTTTATGTTCTCCAAGAATTAGAGAAAGATAATGCTGATAAACCTGCACTCAAAATAAACATATTGTATGATGTTGCATGCATGTTGGTGAAACACTTACAGGTAATATTCAATTGACAATAGTTGCTTTGTTAACTGTTTCCTTAGTCAATAACTTTCCCTCAACACTTTTTTTCTTTGAAAATGTAGTCTTTCACATGTTTTTCTTTATTTTGTTTTTTACAAAAAGAATTTGGAGGATCCAATTATTGACATTTTTCAATTTTCAATTCCAATTTTTCACAGCTATGGCCATGTTGGACGATGCCAAGTTAGTTGTTATTGTTTTTATTTTTCATACCTATTAACAGATGGTGATACCTGAGTTTTTATGCTGTCATAACTAATGGTATTGTAGATGATAAAATGATAAAAAGTCAATAATTGTTTGCTAAATCTTTCTTGTAAAAGGTTAAATTTAGTCCCCGTCGTAAAGAAGGATTTGGCCTAACTGACGGTGAGATGTTGGAGAGATTGTGGGCTTACATTCGCAAATTTAGCAGAATGACTAAAGAAATGCGTCCAAGTGACAGAGTTGATGTACTCAGTGATGCTCTTTTACATTATGGAAAGAAAACGAAGATTAATTTAGGTATAACTAGTTTTTGTTTCTTTGTTTGAACATATACATAGCTAACATGTCATCATATTATGTAATGGCAGGTATGAATTAAATTTTGTTTTTTGAGGCAATTTGCTGATGGCAAGGATGAAGCGAGCTGTTGACGTGGAAGAAACTGCAAAATCAGATATTGAAAAGTTATGCAGGTGCTTTCCGTGTGAGTATATGTTTGTATTTGCTGTGTGGTTATATTTGACTCCGATTTTGGATATGAACTATTTACGACTCACATGAAAGCAGTAAATTCTCTTTTTTTCATTATCTAAAGCTCACAGGATTTCAATAGATGATATTCGTGAGTGGATGAAGGACGAATCGACTTTTTTTTGTCGTGAAGTTGAGACTGGTTAGTAATAGACCACTTTGGCGGTTTTATTTGAATAAAAGCACGTGCTCGCTAAGTGAAAACTCGGACAAACATGGCGGAAGTCATAACAACGACTAATTTGCTATATGAAATAGAAATATTTTTCGCTCTCTTGCAAATGTAGCGACGAATCAAACTTAGTCATAGTTGTTGTGCGTCAACGGATATACGATGTGAGTAAGCACAACAACGCGCTACAAGCTAACCACACAAGCCCGACCACAAAGCATGAAAGCACTATAAAGCACTTTTACGATGGATATGTTGAGTCTTTGCTAACAGCCTACAGGCAAGATGCTGGGGTCCATGTTTATATAGGCAAGGTTAAGCCTACAATGAAAGAAATGACTAAAGATGGTAAAGATGTTTACGATTTATGGTTTATATTGGAAGGAAACGGGTCTAATCGCGGCAGTGTGCTTGATGCGTATTGCTGTTGTCTTGGTGGTAGAGATGGTGGATGTAAGCATGTATCATCTGCTTTGTATTCTCTTGATGATCTGCTTAATTCTAGAGGAGAGGATAGTGTTACAAGTAAGGAGTGTAAATGGATTCGAAGCATTCGATTAAACAATTTTGGCTTACCAAGGTTGTGCCACACATGTTCAAAAATTCTGCATTTTGAATAAGGTATCTTCTGAATGTACAAATGGTAAGCATTTAATTTGAGTGTTACCTTAGCAAATTTACTTGAAGCTAATTTGCAGTAATGTTGCTTATGATAGGCTCCACAAAGATAAAGTATTTTCATAAACAAAATCCGGTGAACAAAGATGAAAATGAGGCTGCTTTTTTATGCAAAACAGGTATCACATATCAAGTATCAAGTGGTTTATTAAGCGCCAGGATGTTTTGTTATGCTCCTCAATTTTTTTCTTAATTTCCTTAGATGATACGGTAAGCATCTTAGAGACAGAAAACAGTGATCCGCCGATGAAGTCTGTTGTCTTATTTGGCTTTGATGTGCAACAAGAAGACATAGACAGTCTACAACCAAAGGGACTTATCACAGACACAATCTTGTCTATATTAATGAGGTATATTCTTTCTATGCAATATTGATTGATTTTAAAATAGCAAATAGGTTGATTACACTACCAAAGTAAATTTACTAATGCTAGTGAACTGTATAATTTCATTTCTAGTGAGCACTGCTGTGAATACCCCATAGTAGACACTTTATTCTATTCTGTTCTTGTTGGAGATCAAGAACTGAAAGTGAGAACATCAAGCAGGTTTCAGTAACTGACAATGATATTGCACTTATCTTTCAAATATTCTACTTTTATACATTGTATTTAATGTTTGTAGACTAGAAAGAATCCAAGCTGCAGAACAATTTTTCAGTGCAAAGTTACTTGAAAAAGATTATGTGTTTGTGCCAATCAACAGAAGGTAAAAATGCTTTAGACAACAAATGTAGCATCTTTTGCAAAAAAATGTAAAAAAAGTTTTATTCCATTATTTTAGCCTACACTGGTTTTTGGCCATCATTTCACCATGGTAGGAAAAGCAACATTTGCTATATTGCATGTGTTCCTTTAAAGCATGTAATGTTACAATAGTAACCAATTTCATATTTAGGCATATCCTTGTTCTGGACTCTTTAACTTGGGATAAAGAAGACAAGAAATCTACATTTGAATATATTTCACAGTAATTGTTTTTCCATTGCACTATGCCTACTCTCATTGCTATGTTACTGTTGGATAAGAATTTTACTTTTCATTCTGAAGATATTTGGACTACACCTTTCAAAAGCACAGCATCAAAAGAAAGCATCGTTCTCATCATATGTTAAAAGTGAGTTCTTATCATACCACCAATAAAATATATTGTGCAAATAATTCTTGCTATATGCATTATTTGGTAGGTCCCACAGCAGGAAATCTCTTCAAATCTCTGTGCTGTTTTTGTATAACTTTTTATTAAATACTTTTTGAAGGTAATTATGGAAACTACATGTTTCTTCAAGTTAGAGCCTAATAATAGGAAAGATGTACTCAATGCAATAACATAGGGAAGAGTGCTTACTTTTTCAATCTCACAAAATTTTTTAGGATATTGAAAAATATGAGAAATGTCCCAATGATTTCATTCTCATGGAACATAAATGGTTCAGTAGCAAGGATGCCACAATGGAAAGAAATAAATGGCACAAAACTTTGCACACATTGTTTACTCTGCATTGATCTAAGTTTATCTTTAACACAAAGGAATATTTTATTGTATATTTTTTAAAGCTTCTATATACAATGTTTTAAGGTGATGCAATAATCTGTGGTTGCAAATTAACCAATGCTGCACAGATAGACACAACAGAATCAATATATGGTTTCATTGTTAATTTTCGTACACACAAATCTGTCACCTCGATGACACGCACGAATCCAGCGCTCTCGCTTGTCGCTATGGTATTTCTCCCCAGGAAAACGTAAAAATACTTTGCTTCTACTTGCGTCTCGTTTTAAACTATCAGGATACCGCGAATCGCTTTTGCAGGTTCCCCAAGCGCACCTCTTCGTCGTAACCATTGTTATAAAATTACTCCGCCACGTATCGTTATTATTATTGCATTATATTTAATCATACGAGTTCACATTGAATTTTGCTATGCTCTATTCATCTCTTGTCCTATTCTATATTTTATCGTGCATTTATATAGTAACTAAAGGGAGTGTTCTCAGTCATATCCTGCACGTAATAGTGGGATGACTTACTTCTTTCTAAGCGCGTTATAGTGCTTTCATGCTTTGTGGTCGGGCTTGTGTGGTTAGCTTGTAGCGCGTTGTTGTGCTTACTCACATCGTATATACGTTGACGCACATCAACTATGACTAAGTTTGATTCGTCGCTACATTTGCAAGAGAGCGAAAATATTTCTATTTCATATAGCAAATTAGTCATTGTTATGACTTTCCGCCATGTTTGTCCGAGTTTTCACTTAGCGAGCACGTGCTTTTATTCAAATAAAACCGCCAAAGTGGTCTATTGAGAAACAATGGCTTGTAGCTATGGAACAGATTTGACACATAATTATTGATGCTCATTATGTGGAAATGCTCACATAATTATTGATGCTCATTTTAACAAATATACGTAAATCTTCAACAACTTACAGAAGAAGAAGATTGGAAATGCAAGTACGTTATATACCTGGACTTGTACGCTGATCTTTACCATCGATGGAATGGTTGCACTGATCCAAGTGAACTGACTGTTCGATTTAATCAGATGAAAAGTATGTTCGAAAAGTTGAACTTGTTTCTAGAGATATTAAAGTCTTAAACAGTGTGAATTTAGAAAAATGAACTGGGAAAATTTTGAAGCTATGAATGTACGTCGTAACATTGTGAATAATAAGTTGGAATATCGAATAAAAAATTATTTTTTGTTTTTATACGTACGTACAAGTAGAGATGTCCATAAATCATTTCAAAGGAGACATTCGACTAACTCACCCATTTCACAACAAAACGACAAATAGCCTTTCTTGACTATTACGCACAGTAATGGAGACGCCACGGATAAATTCCTTGAAGGAGCCAGTTGTTACACTACACTAATATTTCACACATCAGTGCAGTAAATCCAACGTCCATATTTTATAGAAGCAATCTCTTGCCACGTATAAAAGGAAAGAGTTTTGAATGCACCATTATCAATATCAAACCAGTAAAATTTTATAAGTATAAAAAATAAACAAACGACTCATTTGCTGAAATTTCACTCAAAATAACTCATTTGCTGAAATTTCACCCACGTCAATTTTGAGACATGACCTGTGATCAGGAAGTTACACATACAGGACCTTCAGAACTAACTGTATGTCTTTGTCTAAAATTTTAGACAAAGACATACAAATTCCTTAAAGGAGCCAGTTGTTACACTACACTAAACTAATTAAACTAATATTAAACTAATTCCAAGATGAAATGGTAATCTGGTAAGAGAACACAGGAACTCAACCTAATAAATAAGTCAATTCAATACAAAGACTTTGGTAAAAATACAAGCTGCAAAGTAAGAATAACTTAATATAACTTTTAATTTGGTATTTATGATACTTTTGATCTATGGCTAGCTCGAGTGCCGAGAACGAATGTTACACGTGCAAGTGCGCGGATATAAGTCGACTAATTAAATTGGGACGTGTGAGACAATTGAGTAGCCATTATACATAATGTGAGAAATTCTCGTCAAGTCATGACGCAGATTATAGTCTAGAAATCCGTATAGTTCACGCGACATCTAGTCACTGCATGGTTGTGGGGGACTTTTTTGATGGTTGAAAATTAGTTGAAAATAGTTGGTTATGTAAAATAGTTGGTATAACATATCGTTAGCAGAAGATTACATCTAGATTACACAAAGTGCATTGTGGCACACTAGCGTGTGTGTTTGTTATAGTTACTGCTACAATAACATGGTCTTGGGAGTCAAATAGATTTAACATCATCGTCGTGCATTTTATTATGTAAAAGTGCTTTTGTTATGTGTCAACAACCAATCTCAGAAGGAATTTTTTTTAGCCTATTATTTTACACCTTTCGAAATTATATGTTTAAACTATTTGAAATATTGATATATGAAATGTTAATGTAGCTAATAAGACAGTGGTTCGATGGTGAGAAAAATCAGCCAACAATGTGTAAGCTAACCTTAGAAACCATAAAAAATTTACAGGCAAAATAACCTCAATAAGTAATTAGGATTGTGAATATACATGTTGATTGTACGACGATATTTGGATTCCTAAAAGACCACCAGCCTATGACAGAAAACTTAATCACAAAAATAGGTCCAGATGTTATCCATCGTTTGTTTTAGGAAAAATGACCAGAAGAGCAATTACTTTTGTAAGTTTTTATCAGCGCCAAAATTCGACAAAGATCAAGAGGTTACATCCTCCAGCGAATATTCAAACGATTTTTAAGAGTACGATTAAGAGGTTAATCAATTTAATAGCTGGACTTATACAAGTAAAGCAGAATCTTTCAATAGACAGAGCAAACGCATCGGGTGTCATAACTATTGCGGTATTTCATGGTATTTAAAGGTCACCTGAAATGCTTGATATAACTTTGCTTCATATGAAAGCTTAGCTAATGATTAGCCTATTCGCCAAATTTGAAAGTCCAATGTTTTATATTTTATGAGACATGGTCTTCTGAATTCATGACATTGACGATTTCCGAAAGCCGAATTCAAATAGCGCGAGCGAATTTGAATTACAAGCTGGGGCGAGTTGACGTAATAGTTGCCATTGCATGTTTTTGCTCAGTGCAGCCAGTAGCAGTAAAATTAAATTTCGCCAATTTTCTTTTGTTGCTGCTACTATTAATGCGTGTTTATCTCGACGTCTTCAACGGAGGAAGAAGTCGAATTTGACATCGAATATATTGCTACGGAGGTCCAGCCTTACATGTTTGAACCGCTAGCTAGTAGCAAGAATGTTGAAACTGACGAAGATCTGTCTTCGTCGTCAACGGACAGCTCATCTGACGAATATACTCACAGGATTGGAAATACAAACTGGTGCGTTGCTTTTTTTCATGATTAACATTTCATATCGCGTCATAAAATTCTTTCTTTATTTTAATGGCAGGTGTGAATGTGGACACTGTGTGGCGATGACAACCGGCCGGGAAAGCATTTGTTGCCATGAGGAACCGAAGACTACTGTGAAGGTACCACAGGATTCATCCTGACATTCATCCTGACATTCATCCTTACATTCACCACAGGATTCACCACAACATTCAAAATTAGCATAAAGTGTGAAGTTGACACCACATTCATTTTAATGTTATTAAATAACATCAGTTTCAGAAACAAAATAGAAAACCGTATTTTTGCTACAAAAAAGCAAAACATGCACACGTGTTTGGTGCCGTTGTAAAGACCAAGTTATTTAGACAAGGATTATACTATTTTTATTTTGGTCGAAAGTCTTGGAGCAAATATACAGCATTTTAAAGACTACTTCCGCTTTTGTCTCTTTACGTTAAATAATTGCGCGATGTTTACAATGCATAAATGTTGACATCTAAAAAGGCCTAATTTTCAAGAAATAAACACGCTGGAAAATACTTGTGTTTGGTAACATCCGAAAGTACGTTTTCTGAGGATTACAAATATGGTTTTATTATCTTGGTCCAAATTCGTGGAGCGAATCTACAGCCGTGCAAAGTCGACTGTGAAGGTACCACAGGATTCAAGATAGTACGGTTTTATACGGTAAACACGCTACAATTTACTTGTGTTTAGTATCGTCTTAAAGAGCGTGTTCTGAGGATTACAAATATGGTTTTATTATCTTGGTCCAAATTCGTGAAGCGGTTCTACAGCTTTGGAAAGGTAGAGCATTTTTGCGTTAATTAATAGGCAAGTTGTCATGTTGCATTATTTCACTAACGTCTAAATATGCCGGGTGTTGAACTAGTTAACACGCTGCAATATACTCGTATTTGGTATCAGATTAAAGATCTTGCTATGAGGATTACAAATATGTCTTTATTATTGTGGCCGACATTCCAGGAGCGAATCTACAGCTTGAGAAATGTGGAGACGTTTTGCGTTAATTAATATTCGCGGTACTTAACTGACATGTTTATATATATCTAATTTTCATGAAGTTAACACGCTACAATTTACTTGTGTTTAGTATCGTCTTAAAGATCTTGTTCTGAGGATTACAAATATGGTTTTATTATCTTGGTCCAAATTCGTGAAGCGGTTCTACAGCTTTGGAAAGGTAGAGCATTTTGCGTTAATTAATAGGCAAGTTGTCATGTTGCATTATTTCACTAACGTCTAAATATGCCGGGTGTTGAACTAGTTAACACGCTGCAATATACTCGTATTTGGTATCAGATTAAAGATCTTGCTATGAGGATTACAAATATGGTTTTATTATTGTGGTCCAAATTCAGGAGCGGTTCTACAGCTTTGGAAATGTAGAGCATTTTGCGTTAATTAATATTCGCGGTACTTAACTGACATGTTTATATATATCTAATTTTCATGAAGTTAACACGCTACAATTTACTTGTGTTTAGTATCGTCTTAAAGATCTTGTTCTGAGGATTACAAATATGGTTTTATTATCTTGGTCCAAATTCGTGAAGCGGTTCTACAGCTTTGGAAAGGTAGAGCATTTTTGCGTTAATTAATAGGCAAGTTGTCATGTTGCATTATTTCACTAACGTCTAAATATGCCGGGTGTTGGACTAGTTAACACGCTGCAATATACTCGTATTTGGTATCAGATTAAAGATCTTGCTATGAGGATTACAAATATGGTTTTATTATTGTGGTCCAAATTCGTGAAGCGGTTCTACAGCTTTGGAAAGGTGGAGCATTTTTGCGTTAATTAATAGGCATGCAGGATTTTGAACTAGTTAACACGCTGTGATAAACTCGTGTTTGGTATCAGCTTAGAGATCTTGTTCCGAGGATTACAAATAGGAAGAAAAATGTTTTGTTTGTTGTTTCTTTGAATGGACATATCATATAGCTTATAAACAACATGTAATTACAATAACAGCTCGTAAAGAACATTTTTCAACGTTTTAGTTAATAAATTTCCTTAGGAACTTAAAAACTTACATGCAGTTTATTAAAGAACGAGCCAAACAAAGCTGGATGTCAGATGGCCCAATGGTTTGGGCTTCTTCGTGTATACTTTTTTAGTGCTTCACGAAACAAGGTCGCAATACAACGGGGACCTGAATTTGCCCTCCATCCGGGCGAATTTAATTGATTGATAATGAATAGCTGTTTGTAATAATGATTGGACACAGGAAAGATACTTTTCAAAATTTTTATTTTTTGGCGATTTTTGAACTTTTTTTCCTCTTTAGTTAAGACTTTCTAACCTCCTTAGTCCCTGCAAAAGATGGTAAGAACAATGTGAGATAACAAAAGAAAATCATATTTATTTTTTGCATTGTTTTGAAATAAGTTTTGTTTTTGATTGATCGAATAGAGTCAGAATCAGAATGTTTTCTTTTTATTCTGTGCGAATACAGTTTAAAAAGCTTCACTACTTAATTGATGAAGTAACTTTTAATCTTTTTGTTTGATATATGTTTAATGAAAATCGTTCTACCTTGTAAATATATTGATAACAACTTGGCCACGCCCTCTTCCACGCCCCCTTCCACGCCAAATTCCGCGACCTCGCCATTGGGGACGACCACGCCGTCCGCCGCGGCCTCTCCTGGCACCCCGCGTCCCTCGACGCGGTTTGCTAGGGCAATCTTCAGGGCGTGCCCACGTCATTGCATGTTTACATTCTGAAATAATAAAGTAATAAAATCAACATATAATTTGTGCGAACAAGTGTGTCATTAGTTTAAACTCACTTATTTCCTCTGGCTTGTTTTCGACGTCTGCTATAAAGTTGCGAACGATAAAGACGTTAGAGATTTTCCATGCCCAACAAAATACAAAAAAACATGTATTAGAATTGGAAACCTGTTCTCAACCATGCATTTAGATGGTTGTTATAAAAAGCGATAGTGAATTTTACAGTGTTGCGGAACAGCTTTTTATACTATATTCATTGGCGTTCGCTTAACATGAAAAACGATCATAAAGATATTCAATTATCATACATGTATAAGTAATATGTTAAGCACAAGTACAAAAAACACTCTTAGTCGATATATTGTACAAATTATGCAACAAACCTTTTCGCTTCTTTCGATTTTCTTCTTCTGATTAAGACGATTCATAAAAAAAGAGATATTTTTTGTAGGTTTGAGTCATCTTTATGCAAATGTATTTAGCTATTAACATTTTTGAAATTTTATATCTATTCCGAAGAACTGGCTCACCTTTACCCCCCCTCTCTCGTTTGTTTTGAGTATCTGGAACAAAGAACACACATTAAACTGATTGGATAACATGCATGTTAATAAACACAATTCTTTTGCGACTATTCTTTAGCATAAGCACGTTTAAGTAAGGTTGATGGTGATGTAATAGAATTGAATCAACTATTGTTGAACATTGTACACTTTGCCATAAAGACAAGTTGAAATATTTCTTTTCACTTAATGCAGAAAACTAAGAAACTTTGCAAAAAATGTTACTTATCGTTTTACCATTTTGTGCTTCTTTTTCGGCCATTTCTAAATAGAAAATAATGTTTATCATTAGTTGTACAGCGTGAACAAACTTATCGTCTTATGCCCAGCGCCGATATCGCACAGTGGCAAATATGCCATGTGCCCCGCGATCCATGCTAAAAGGAAATAACAATGCGTCATGGGGTACCGCAATAAGAAAATGCCTTGGGCACCGACATGTAAACGCGGCGATGCTCATGCGTTTATACGAGTAAACGAACGTTCAAGCAGTGACACATTACATAAAAATGGAATCATAAATACAATAAAAAATATCATTATAGTTTCGCCTCCGGAGAAAGGTTAAATATTTATGCTTTAGTACCATGTGATGCAGCGTATTAATGTATAAAACTTTTGGTAGAGAATAAGGCAATCCCAAGCATAAAAACAATCAAAATATGCATATGGTTGTGTTTAAATATATATACTTATTTTACTTTGGGTAAAATTATTGAAACAATCTAGTTGCTATAAAGGATTGTTCACTTACATTTTCCGTACACACTTCTAAATATCTGTTATTACCACGGCACACTCAACAAAAGTGAATGAGAATTATGACGCGTGATATTAACACTGGCTTCTTCATTTGTATCTCTTTTGATGGACCAATCGCATTACTACTTCTTTATGATGGACCAATCGCATTCCTAATTAGTGAACTAAAGAGAAAAGGCGGCAAAGCAAAGGCCACTCCTTTGAAGATTTCCAACTGCCGGAGAAAATTTCAGTTGTGTTGTTTGGTAGGGAAGTTACAGAATTTTTGGTAAGAGTTTCGTCTTCTACAAAACATTAAAATGATCTCTGAACCGATCCGAGTAGGCTGTTGCTGATATTTTGTAGAAAAACTAACAAAAGGTAGCATGTTTTATTTTTTGCTGATAAAAGTAATTTCCAAAGTCAGCATACTTGACATCGACTGGAAAATGCAACAGCTTTGTGACGTATTTTGTTATTCAACGATGACGCACAGAATGTCGGTTTGGCAGATTTCAAATCAAAAATTTTAATATTGTTTTGCAGTGATTGAAGAAACAAAACACGATAAACTGATTTTATTTCTATTGTTTGTGTCGAAGAACGATTAACCCTTGGTGCACGCATTTGCATGCGTCATCGTCATTCATCGACAAACTAGCTATGAAACAAAAGACAATGTCAGCTGTCAAGTTTGAAGACATTGTAAATCACTAAAAAAATAATATGTTGCAAAAAAATAAACATATTCATAGGTTCGAAATTTAAATAATGTAGGAGAATATAATAATAGCACGAAAAATCAAAACTCCAGAATAGTGTTGGTGTTTTAAAGTTATTTGTCAATAAAACATTACAATTTGAGAAACACGACGATTTTTAAGCGCAAACATGTTTCGACATCAGAACGACATCTTTCGATGACAAACATGTTTCGACATCAGAATGACATCTTTATTGTAAAATGGTCAGGGTTAACACGTGATTTTAATATATTCCTTCATGGTTGGTGAGTGCGTACGATTTTTATGCACGAGTAGAAGAGGATTGAAAACAAACGAGTGAGCGTAGCGAACGAGCGCCAATAAAAATCGTACAAATGAAGCGTGCAAGTGTCCATTTTGATCTCGTACATACAACATACAATTTCGCAACTGGTACTAATATATTCTAGGATGTCCTTACTTTCTGACTTTTGTTGCCCTTCAACGTCTTTTAACACAAGTTAATAAAGCTATCTTACCAGAAAGATAGCTTTATTAGACATAGACAGAAAGAGACAGAGCTCTAATTTGCTTTTAAAAGTAGCTGACCTCACTCCTATCGTAGAAATGACTCATCATAGTGAAGTACAAATACAAAATAGCGTAACTATACGATGCTTCGACTTTGAATCTAATCTATTTCATTCTTTTCTATTCTTTAAAGAATGTGACTGTTTCGCCCAATATCAGGGCTCATCAGCATGCCTAGGAACCACACCGCGATAGGGTGGTGCAATTCCGACATGGACAGCCGCATTTTCTCGTGATATAATACGAGACGTCTCTCAGCGCATTAGAGCAGCCAGTTGCGTTGTCTGACATTTCTGCAGCAACGGCGCATTAGAGCAGCCAGTTGCGTTGTCTGACATTTCTGCAGCAACGGCGCATTAGAGCAGCCAGTTGCGTTGTCTGACATTTCTGCAGCAACGGCGCATTAGAGCAGCCAGTTGCGTTGTCTGACATTTCTGCGGCAACGGCGCATTAGAGCAGCCAGTTGCGTTGTCTGACATTTCTGCAGCAACGGCGCATTAGAGCAGCCAGTTGCGTTGTCTGACATTTCTGCAGCAACGGCGCATTAGAGCCAGTTGCGTTGTCTGACATTTCTGCAGCAACGGCGCATTAGAGCAGCCAGTTGCGTTGTCTGACATTTCTGCAGCAACGGCGCATTAGAGCCAGTTGCGTTGTCGACATTTCTGCAGCAACGGCGCATTAGAGCAGCCAGTTGCATCAACAATGAATTTATCGGTATATGCAAGACATACAGTTAGTTTCTTCATTAATTGATTTTTCATAAAGCGGTAACAATACATGTGTTTGTGAGATGTGTTTGCTCGTCGTTGAAAAGAACATAACAAACGTACTCACCACAATTATGATATTCCAATGTAAAGCTATAAGTTTGATTTAATGAAACAATGTTATCATTGTGTTTCCATTGGAACTGTCTAGGTATTTCCCCATTACAAAAACATTTAAGAGTTACGAGACGACCGACATTTTGCTTGTAAGACGTTGGTATTTGACAACATCTAACGTCACGAGGAAATATTGTTTTTGAAATGAAAAGGAGTTCATTAATGTACAGCTCATTAGCAATTATTGGTCGCAATGCGTTTATCAAAAATATTTGGACTATGATCATATAAGCCCATTCTATAACGAGCATAAGCCAGGACAAAACACCACAGCTAATGGCATCATTCTGCGCTGGAAATTTGTCTTCCCAATGCGCCGAGAATTCCGACACGAAATTTTTGTTTGCTATTTCGATACATTGACCTCTCATTCGGTAAAGTTCTTTGAAGTAAAATTTTATATTATCTACCAATGTTAGATATTGACTGCCTCTTGCCATTGGGTCGTACAAATAAATGCAACATTCAACAGTGTTGATTATTGCCATACACCAGTGACTACCTTGTCCAACATTTATAGGAATTGCAATCACGTCGTAAAGATGAAACAAAACACCTCGGTAGTGCCTCCTTAACATTTCATGAAAGCGCTCTTTATTGTTCGGCTGGCGTACGGATCGAAGTTTTGTCATGAATTGTGTCGTGAATGCAAAACTACGCAATCCAAACTTTTCCGTATTTTTTTGTTAGCAATAGAAGGTAACAATTTATAACCTCATCATTGAGCCATCCAGGGTTGGAAAGAACATATGTATCGTTTGAAAAACCCCTTTTCCAAAGGTTCAAGAGTTTTGATATCTTTTCCCAGAAGATTGTATCCGTGTGTTTTAAATGAAGCAACACGTTCATTTCTTACATTGAGATCACAAAGTGAGTGAAATACCTTGCACATTTTCTTATATTTTTGTGCAATTGACGGAGGCAAACTATCGACCTTTGATTGGACATCTCTACTATTCGTTTGTGCGGTTGGCGCACTTGTGCTATGAACAGAGCCCACAAAATTTGGTGAGCTTGTACTTCGGGGTATGTCCTCATTGTCACTATCATCGCTGAGTTGGGTTGACGACTGTCGTTCGTCTCCATAACCTTTGTCACTAAAATTTTCAGCGGAGTAAAAGGCTATGTACGCATAAGTTGACACCTTTTGCTTCCACTTTTGTGATATATCAGAGACGAATGTATCGTCGACCTCATAAACTCTTCCATCTTTGAATATTACAGCTGTGTAATGGCCAACATCAATACCTGAGCCGTAATGCAATGCACATGAGGATAATTGATAAGTGGCCGATGCACCATCATTCTGCAATGTTAATTTTAATGGCAGTGGAACTCTCTGACAACTCTTCGTAACTCCTGATCCATTTGAAACAAATCTTTTGAAACCAAGGCATAAAATTTTAGGCAGTGTTTTGAGTTCACCTATGCGAACGTGATTCGTCCTCACACTGCATGTGCTACAGTGTGTAAATACAGAATCGATTAAACTCTCTTCGATTTTTCTGTTAAGGTTTTGTTGCCATTGTCAACGGAAGCAAAAAGCGTCATGAAGGTTTCCTCATCATGCAACCGAGTTTTTCCACATACATCACAAATTTTTCTATATTTGTACGTTCCTCTAAAGGAGCCTGCGTCACAATGTTCATGCAAAACTATAAAACTCTCGTGAATATCGTGTTGTTGGCCACTCATAACCAAAATACTTATTAAAATGTCGTGCAGCTGTTGTGGATACAAAGGTTTGTCATTCGTGTTTTTTAATATTCGCAAGGTTTTATTCAGTACTTTCACTACAGTTGGATTACATTTTGTCGTTGTTTCGGGGTATTCAACTTTTAATGCATGCAAACATTGCAGAAGACTGTTCAACCAGCAATCGTTACCCTTATTGATTAAACCTCTTGTTAATTCTTTTCTTAGCAAAGACACGTGCATCTTGTGCGACGTACCAATGGATTTGCTGGATTTCGTACGCTCGCTGTCTTTACTTTGTTTGTTTTTCGTCAACATACTTGTATCCTTGAAGCGGAACTTGTCCTCTGCCGACATATCTAGCCATAATTTAGCTGCCTCTTTCGTTAAAAACGCGTTAGGGCGATTTTGAAGCTCTCTTTTCTTACTACCTTTATGAAAAAAATTTAAGAATGATGACGGTGGACGTCTACTCTGTGTACATTTATTGATTTCTGGAGTTTCGCTTAACGGAATTGCCGGTGACTGCTGGAATTGTCCAACTTTAGCATTAGTTTTTGGTGTCGATGGAGTCTTTTTCCCCCATGTTTCACTGACTTGTGAATAATCATCAACTTCATCATCTGAAGTGTCATCTGAACTTACGATAGTATTGCTTTCGCTTCTTTTGTATTTTCTTTTATATCGATTTCTTGTGCAGATGTTTTGTCCGATGTTTGCGTCTGAAAATTTTCCAAGAATTTTTGGACGTCTTTGTTTTCTGGTAGGTTTATTAGCAGTTAGTCTATCCGAGAAATCTGTCATTCGTCGCCTAATTCTGTCATAATTTTCCAAAACAAATGCATCAGGACGCAGTCTTCTTTGTTTGGAAAATCTTCTTGTTTTAAGTTTCATGACACCTTCCACATAGCCCTCTGTTTTTGAGTTTTCTGATTTAAATGAAAGGTACGGATAGTCGTGTAATGTTTCGTAAACTGGATCGTTCTCCTCTATGTATCGGTCTAATGAACCTAAAAGTACACCAGACCACAAAGGCATCTCACAAAGATAAGATTCTATGAATGCAAAAAATTCTGGTGCGTAGCATCTATTATTTGCCTTGCTATGTTTTGCATCTTCCATCGCTCTTTCTTTGACATTTCGTAGCAAGCTATCGTAATGATTTTT